CAAAAAAGACCGCTAGAGACAACCACACCAAATTTTTACCTGTAAGGATTTAGTATACACGCCACCGTGGTTTACTATGCATTACTAACTACTTATATCGTTGTAGTAAAGCTGTTTTCTTGTGTACGTGTTCAACATGTACCAATCGGCAGGATTGATTTTAGAGTCCCCAAAATCCCTTCGACTTATAATCAAAAACTACTTTTAAATAATCGGCAGCCTGACTTTAATTTTTTTCGTTAAGTTCCACCAACAAGACGAATTTCCATTTTCGTTAATTTCCACCGATATAAGGTCGAATTTCACTCGGTTAGCATTCGTATCCTGCGCATCAGAAGTTTATGTTGATCGAATTTTATTCTATTTTAGCATATTAAAACAAAAATGACCTTATTTAATTTAATATTTTTTGATCACTTTCGACCCAATTACATATAAATTTACGCTCACTAGCCAAGAATTAAATGTTTGACCACAAAATACATTAAGCAGTTGGGCGGAGGGATAGATATTTAGAGGGGCCCTACAAATCAATTTTGCCTACCAATCCATTGCACTCCTGGCACAGAAATCCTTAGTATCGTGCGGTTACTTGTAGTTTTCTCAGTTTTAGTTTAGTTTTTAGCATTAAATTTAGTCAGTGTAGTTTAGCTTTTGTTTAGTTTTGGTGTAGGCCAGTTGTTAATTTACTATTTAGCTTTATTAGTTTTAGTTTAGTTTAAAGTTTAATCGAGTTTTTAAGTTTATTACTTGTGTTTATAAGTTTAAGCTTAATTTAGATTAGTTTTTAGTTTAGTTAAGTTAGTTCACTTTAATTTACCATATTTTAGTTAGCTTAGTTCACTTTCAGTTTTATTAGCGAGATGCGGTTGCGTTTCGCCTTAAAATGAAAGAAAAGCCTATATTTCACTTTAAGTTCGAAAATTCGCAGCTTTTTGCACACTTCCGCAATTTGTGCACTTCTTGTTTCCTATTGGTTGCATTTCTCATTTCAATTATCGCGCGCCTTTTTGTTACCAAAAGTTGGGTTATTAAAATAGTTGTTCCCATTATTTTTACTTTCATACGCTCTACTTTGAATAACCTTTTTTCAGATACGCCTCACTCATATAACCCCTATCACTACTGGTCCCGTATTATATAAATATGGATTTTTCGCTACTGTGGTGATGGATATACTGTAGCGTTGGCATTTTTAGAATTTCACACCCCTTTGTCCTCCTAAATGACGTTATCACAGTTATCTTGTGAAGCTTGAGAAAGTGACTGGCCCCGAAAAGAAAGGGGCCAAATTTGTTAGAACTTTGGACGAACGCGTTTACACACAGAAAAGGTAATTTATTTTAGAAAGATTTTTAATGAAGTTTACGCATAGCAGCTGCCGAATTTTGTTATGGGCATGGATTTTTTTTCGACAATGAGTTGCCATGTTTGGACGCATGTAAAAATATGATCCAAACGGCTATCTGTGTTAGAAAGAATGCTCTAGAACTAACTACTTCAGAGAAAGCTTTTAAAAATATCTTATTTGAAAGGTTCTGATAAGCATATAGACTACAATCTACATTTAGAGGCAATCAATTGAAAAGACTGAAAATTGTAAAGTATGCACCATTACTTCAAGGACTATATGAAAGTCGTTGTAACCAAACACCCGCAATACACATAAATGAAATTTCTCTTAAGATGCACAAAATAGTAGGTTTACGATTTCAATTGATAATTCTATTTAAATTTAGTAGTCACTGACCGGTCTATCAAGATCTGGGCTTATGAAATATTTATTTTTGTGACGTCCCTATCGGCGCAATCAAGCACAAAATGGTTTGCCTTAGTCTAACGCGTCTCTCACAATGTAGAAACGGGAGGAAAAGAATTTTGAAATATATATTCGAACATTAGACTGTTCGTTAGCAGCCATAATTTGCCTTACACTTAATCTGGAATAATATGTCTCTGTAAAATTCATTAAAGGATTACTTTCGAAGGTAATTCTGTTTGTGTTGTTTTATTTACTCGGGTTTTGCGTGTATAGACTTGCTGCGCAGTTTAAAATTAAGTTTACTTACTTACACAGCTTTTTTGCGTTGTTATAATTTTATGCTTTTCCTGAAGAACTAGTATTTATTAAAAAAAACTTAATATTAATTCATAAACCGCAATATGCTTTTCTTGTTTCTGTAAGACTGTTGGGATGCCACGTAACAGGAATTTTCTTGTGAAGTTCGTGAGATTGCATGAGATAGGTGATCTCCCGTACTTTATCGAATAGCTCTATCAGTTCGGTAAGTACAGTATCGTAATAAAACGGGCTAACTGTGAATCTGCGTTATATGCCCTGTGGTCTCTTAGTTATACGACAAGTGTTGCCGACAGTCGCCCCCTCTGGAAGTGGTTGAATCAGCTCCGCCGATATAGACGAGCTAGCAAAGTCTACAGCTCTTTCAGCCTTAAAATCCTTGCACATACGCACGCAATCTTGTTAAAATTCTGATCAGTTGCAAATTCTACCGCGGACAATAGAAGATGTCTGAATATGCATCAATAAAGAACTGCTCTAGTTATCCTGACGTAAACATTTGTCCGACGACGGACGTATTTTACAATGCAGGTGGCGTTTTTGAGGATCTGTTCCTTAAAAGCCCCAGTCCAGCAGCATACCAGACATTATTCATCAGGTTGTAAAGTACTGACCACCGATTTAGCAATCCAACGTTTGTGACATATCCTTGAAAGCTGCGTCTTTACGAACCACAAGCTGCTCACCGTGACCATGAGGTAGAACGCTGACCGCTAAAACCGGATTTTACTTTCCACAGCTGTTTTGTAGTGTATAAGGTACCCGATGTCAATTGGGTTGCTACTATTTAAGGATCTCAATCAAAGGCCACTGAGTGTTATTCTCTACTGTACGCCATCACTGCCTAAGGTGAGTTCCACGCCAAAAAGAAAATATTAGCTGATAGAAAAACGCACGTATGCTCCAAGGGTATCTTGGGTAGACGTGTTCAGCACACAGTTTGGAGTAGCCAGCGATGACAAACAGCGCGTTTTTCCACAGCCTTGTAGGCCGTAGAGCAGGAGACCTGTAGGCTCCGGACAGGGCTTTTTCCAAGAGGAGAAAGAGAACTGACGTAAAATGTCAATAACCGTGAGACAAGTCTGTTCTAAACCAATGGGTAGGATGGCAGCACCCGAAGGCGGCGGACTTGGCCTTTCCGAATCACCTGATTGAGCGTTGATGGTTTCTATGACCGTCGTAGACGAAATCTGAAATTTTAGTATTGTCAGCAAATAAGTTCAAAAGCTAGAAGTTTAAGCGTCAAAATAGCAAACACATCTTAGAAGATAAGCGCAATCGATAGTACTGGACTCCATCATGTTTGCAGCTATCAAGATTGAGGAGTACGATACCTGTCTATGTACGAGCTCGAATGAAATTAGAAGCCGGCTGTTAAAGGCGTCCATTATAAATGTGAAGTAGCAGGAACCGATATATGACGCTAAATCGGTTTAAGGTGGGAAAAATACTGCCTTTCCATAAATAATAATTTAACGCATTTAGGTACTCCTTTTTCCAAACTGGGCCCGATTACGCCAAAGAACTTTCCGCTGAAGATGCATATCAAAATACCGAACAGAAAAGTCGAGGAGACACAGTTTGACCCCTCCAGCATATTATCAGTGACGATGACATACCAGCATTTACGCGTCAACGAAGACATTTCCAAACATCGAAATTCGTCAAGGACAAACGCAGTAGAAACACGGTCAGTAATGAGGACGACATTAGTTAAAATAAACTTTGGCAATTTCGACTCGGAAGACTCGGCTACCGATAGCACAATAGCTTCTATTTTATAGGGCGCAATTTCAGTCATCTATCTAAATCGGTAAGCCAATGAATTTTTCGACGAAAACTTTGTGCAGAAGATGAATAAAAATACACGCATTGCCTGAAAACGTCCACTTAGCAAGATACTAACTCCTAGGTGCTGCTCCTGAGATGCACTAGCACTCAGAAGTGGTAACCGGGATCATGTATGGCAGGGCTGAAGATCGCATACCCAGCGACATCCGCCCATTACTATCTATTAAGCGAGACAAAATAATTAAGGAGACTACTTTTATTAACAAAGCGGGTGAAACTCGAGCAAAGGAGGGTCCTTAATCAAATGCAACTTGATCGCAGGTTCTGGCTGATAGGCAATGGGAAAAAGTAAAGCAGGGAAGCATTCTTAGATGGCGACTGTTAACGGCATAAAAAGGCACCGGCGGACAGATTT